ACCAGAGACAGAGTGGGGAGCAAAACAGGCAGATCGACGAAGCACACTGCAGAGGGGAGCAGCGGGCCGGCCAGGAGAGGTCTGCTGCGCCATGTGGTCACCTCCGGGGCAGGCAGGGATCGAACTCATGCAGAAATGACTTTAGCTTCTCAGTGCTGTGCTTTAACCCGCTGCGCCACCAGGGAGGGCCCCGAAAGTTAACCACTTTTGTAATAGACAGCCTAACTTTATGATTAAAATATCTTTATCTTTAAACAACAACAACAAAATGCCTGGTAGGAATGAAGTGTTCTGGAATTGCTACCTCCAGACCAATTGATTTCAAAGAATGTCAACTCCAAGATGTGTGATGTCCCCAAAACAGAAAGGGTCCGGTCTGACAGGCCTCGTTAGTCTCCTCCCTGCGTGGGAACCTCGAAAAGGTAGTCCCCGACCCCTACCTGGCTCACTTTGTAGAAATCCTCAAACTTCCACGTAGGTAGTGGCAGCCAAAGTTGCCACGAATTCTGAGGCTTTGGAATGATTAAGGCGTGGAAACTCGGGATGGGGCCCGGGAGGGGAGCCCCAGATGTCTCAGAGGGGGCAGCGGCTTTGGCCTTTGCCGGCTGCTGTGAACTCGGAGTGTACATGTCCCGCCGGGCAACGACGACCCAACAACACGATACATGAAGTGCGTTTATTAGGAAGAAAAATTCCAAATAATCACAAGTAGTTCTTGGACACTTGGCCACTGCACAGGGGGAGGGGATGTAACACAGCCCAGGGATTGCTTACACCACAACAGGAGTTTTAAGGCAGTTGAATCTGAGGCTGTAAGACTACAGCAGTGACAGAAACATAACATTCAAAAAGAACGCAGGCCCCAACCGTCACGACAGCAAGAAATCTCTGAGCAGGCCCCAGACAGCAGCCACCATCAGGGACAAAGTCTCGAAAGCAATTCAACAAGGTGTGGGTGTGACGGGGTGAGCTCAGGGACCCCTGAGCGTGGGGCCCACAGAGATTCACGGGGTGGCCTGAACGCCTGCACTCTCACATTTTTCTAACTTTACATAAACATTTCACAGTCCTAGGGAAGCAAATGCACACCAGGTGCGAGAGAGACAGGGTGACAGAGAACACAGCCGGACGCAGCCATGATGACGCGAGTGAACGACTTTCTGGCAGGTCCCTCAAAAGCAGAGATGAGGCTTTAAAAGTATGCCGGGGTAAGCTCGGTCTTCCCCTCCGTGGTGACCACCTGGATGAGGCTTCCCGAGCTGGGTCGGTTTTTCTGGGTGATCCAGTCGTGGAAAGTTCTAGAACAAAGAACAAAAGCTTATCATTTTTTTTTAAAGATTTATTTATTTATGCACAACTGGGGTACAGGCCAGAGACGCAAGGACGGTGAGAGGATTCGCCAGAGACAGAGTGGGGAGCAGAACAGGCAGATCGACAACGTACAATATGACTCTAAGCGGTTTCTGAACGGATTTAGTTAACTCTGAGAGAGAGACGGGTACAAAATACCTCCTTACTGTCTATTCGCCATCCCAGACTCTTGAGGGAAGAAATTCAATTTCTCTTTCGTGACCATTTACAGAGCACGGGGTGTGCAAGCAGGGAAAAGACAACAAAAACAGACTTTCAATCAAGTCTGTTAAGAGCAGCCAGGGGGCCCAGCGGTTACGCCCGTGGGGAAGAGGCTTCTGAATGAGGACAGAAGTGTTAACCCAAACACACCCCAGAGCTGAGGTCAGAAAGTCCGTGAGGTTTAAACAAAAATGGTAACACGGCCCTCCCTGGTAGCGCAGCGGGTTAAAGCACAGCACTGAGAAGCTTAAGCCACTTCCTCATGAGTTCGATCCCCGCCTGCCCCGGAGGTGACCACATGGCGTTGCAGACCTCTCCTGACCCGCCCGCTGCTCCCCTCAGCAGTGTACTTCGTCGATCTGCCTGTTCTGCTCCCCACTTTGTCTCTGGTGAATCCTCTCACCCTCCGCATCTCTGGCCTGTACCCCAGTTCTGTATGAATAAATAAATCTTAAAAAAAAAAAAAAAACGGTAACACTTGAGAAAGTGAGGCCTGGGTAGGGAGGTAAACTCTAGTAAGAGAAAACAGGGCAAAGTAGCCCTAGACACAGCCCCCAGCTCCCTTGCCCTTCCCGGGCTCCAGCAGCCAGGGGTCCCACTTTATTTTTGCTCCTGTTCTCCTTAATAAACTTGCTCTTTCTCTGAACAAGTCTGCTCTTCTCGCTTGCGTGTCTGAGCGTCCTGAAGCTCCTGCTGCGGCTTCGTGAGACACCAGCCCGTGGCGGCCTACTAGTGGCCGGACTCAGAGGTTCCCGGCTGGGAGACGGGGCCTGAGGACCTGAAATTAAGCGAGCGCCCAGACAGCCGCAGCTGGAGCCTTGGCGAACCCTTCCTGGCCACACCTACGAGCTCCTGGAAGTCTCCAGTGCCCGCTGAGTCTGCTAGAGCAGCGCTCACCTGTCAAGCCACTCAGTTCCCACTCAAGGTGAACAAGGAAAGTCAGCCACGCTCACGAAACCAGGCTGCAGGTAGCCAGACTCCCTCTGTTACCATGCTGTGGCCTGGCCCCCTCTCTGGGGGCGACCTTAGCGCCCAGGGGAGACCCCATGAGGGGTGTGGGTGCCAGTTCACCTGTGCAGAAGATGTACCGGTCAGCAGTTCCGGGGGGTGAGACAGAATAGGTCTGAACCACCGATGGGCAAGAACATCACGTGCTCATAGACGTTTCAAAGCCCACTTGCGCCAACATGTCACATGATTCTCAAATTCCCAAACGGGTGGAGAGGATTTCTGGTACCGGGGCACTGTCCCTGTACCCTCTGTGAGCTGTGGCCTGGCACACGCTCAGAATGTGAGCGCAAATGTTCTCCTAGAACAGAGGAGTTAGGTCCATGCTCTCACAGGACATGGACACACTGGCCTGTTTCTGAAATCCCAACTGTGGGATTTAAGCCGTGCAGGTCGGGCCCTGGAGCACGGCAAATGCAAGCACAGCTCAAAATGCCAGCTTCCTTTTCTTTCTTTTCTGCCAATCCAGCGCCCAGCAGTCCCGACACTGACAGCAGCCACTCTGCAGCCCTATCGCCTGGTCAGGTGCTGGCCTGCTGTGACCCTCGTCTCTAGCTCCCCGCCCTGCACTGAGGGCCTCCCAGCCCTGCCAAGGCATCACGTGAGCTTTGGCTATGAGTGCCAAAGTTACGTTCAAGTGCTATGTAAGTGCTTGGTCGGAATAGGAAGTGACGTCAGGCCAGCACACCCCAATTTCACCCACAGTTGACCCAGAGAGCAGCAAAGCTGGGCAAGGTCGCCACCTGCTGGGTGAGGGCGGGCACTGCAGCTGCCCCATCATCTGGATACTCCAGCCACGGTGGGTGCTCAGAGGGGTGCTGGGAGCTGAGACTGAGGCCAGCACAAGAGTGAGAAAGCCCACATGTTCCCAGGGGGCCTTGCCGGTGCCGCTCACATTCACATGGATGGAGCTTAGCACACATCTGAGCCTCCTGACAGTGATGGTGAACCCCACAGAGACCGGGAAACAGACCCAGCCCAGCCAAGCAACTCTCTTGGGGTGCTGGCCTGCGGGGAAGCTGGGACTCGTGGGCACCACCCACTGGCCACTCTGCGCTGGACCGAGACGCGGAGCCCTCTGCCAGCTCCTGATCTCCTGGGATGGCAGGCCAGGGCACATGAGCTTGTCCTCTCGCCAACAGGCAGAGAAGGGGGCGGACGCGGCACCAGCCCCACACACGGTAATACTCACTCCACCAGGAACTCCAGGGGCGTCCAGGAGCTGAAGTCCGCCTCGGGCATGGACTTCCTGTTCATGGGGGTGTCCAGGGTAACTCTGTGATGGACGAGACAAAAGCTAGTGTTAGGAGTGTCTCTCCACATAAAGGCACCTGCCTGTCTCCGGGGCCCGGGAAAGGCACAGGCCCCCAGTACCAAGGGAGCCGGCCAGGGAGCCCACGGGGGATGACCACGGCCAGGAGAGGCCACGTTCACAACGACCCACCGGGCCTGCCCACTGGGCACTTTGTGATGCCCTGTTAGGCAGGTGGGGACGGAACAAGAGTCGTGTCCATGTTTTTAGAAATACGGCCCCTTTTTTTAAGTACCAGCTTCGCTGGCTACATCCTTCCTGCAAGGGGCAGATGCATTTCTCAGGACTGGTAGAGGGTAACAAAAATACTCCTTTCACTAAGAAAGAGCTCCGTTCTTCACCTGTGGCTATCTGCCCTGAGACCTTGTGATTTTCAGCAACAGACAGAGAAGTCGGAGGTGGATTTGTTCCGAGAGCCAGCCAGCCTCAGTCCAGGGCGCCAAGGGGCCGGGTCACAGAAGGTGCAAGACCTGGCTGCCTGCCCTGTGTGTAGGGCAGGGAGACAGCCAGATCCTCCCGAGGGGGCACTCGAGGCCAAAGCAGCTGCTCACTGGCTCCTCGTCACAAATGCAAACGGGGCCCGTCTCCAGGCCCCCCTGAAACACCCCCTTCCACCCTGACCCTGCTGATGACTTGAAGGGGCAGATGGACAGATATTGAAATAACAGCCACAGGATGCAGAGGAAGAAGGGGTGGAGTGATGGAGGGAGGGGTGACGGGAAGGGGGAGGGAGGGGAGAAAGGAGGGGAGAGTGGAGTGATGGAGGGAGGGTGAGGTGGTGGAGGGAAAGAAAAAGGAGAGCAACCCATCTCCAACTGCCGCTCTGGCCATTCTCTGGCCTTCCCAAGCACCAGCCCCACCCCTGTTCCAAAACCGTCAGGACCTTCAGGGAATTTCAAAACCAGGGAGAGTCCCGGCGGGGGGTGACTCCAGGACACAGGTCCCCACGTGGGGGAGCTCCGCCACTTAGGGGAGCCCCGCCCCTTAGGGGGCCCCGCCACTTAGGGGAGCCCCGTCACTTACCGGGAGCTCCACCACTTAGGGGAGCCCCGCCCACTTAGGGGGCCCAGCCACTTAGGGGAGCCCAGCCACTTACAGGGACCACGCCCTCAGGGGGCCCCGCCACTTAGGGGAGCCCGCCACTTAGGGGGGCCGCGCCCTCAGGGGGCCGCGCCACTTAGGGGGCCCAGCCACTTAGGGGGCCCAGCCACTTAGGGGATCCCAGCCACTTACAGGGACCGCGCCCTTAGGGAGCCCCGCCACTTAGGAGAGCCCCACCACTTAGGGGGGCCCCGCCACTTAGGGGGGCCCCGCCACTTAGGGGGCCCCGCCACTTAGGGGGCCCCGCCACTTACGGGAGCACGGCCACGGCGGCAGCCCCACCACTTAGGGGGCCCCGCCACTTAGGGGAGCCAGCCACTTAGGGGGGCCGCGCCCTCAGGGGGCCCCCCACTTACGGGAGCACAGCCACGGCGGCGGCCCCGGCCGGCATGCCGCTGTTCTTCCCGGCGAGGCTCTGGCAGAGCTGGTGGACGGCGCCCTTGGCCATGCCGTAGCCGATCATGCCTGGAAGAAGGGGGCGGGTCAGTGACTGCAGCCGCCACCGGGTGTCCAGAGACCACCGTGGCAGGCGCGGGGGGCAGGGTGGCCACCTGTGGGGAGAAAGGGGGAGAGATGTGGCATGCCAAGGCACCTGCTGTTCGCATGGCACCCAGCACCCCTCCCGCAAGTCCGCCGGACACAGGCGTCCAGGCAGACCCGGGAGAGGGTGACTGAGAGCCGGGTGAGTGGCCCTGAGTGTGGGCCCCCGCCCCCCGCCCCCCGCCGTGGTCGGGCCTGGGGGCGGGGGTGGGGGGAGGGGGGGCCTCGGCAGTCTCCCGGGGAAAGAATCAGTGAGCAAACTGCTTAAATACAAAGTGGGGCCCAGCATGCTGTCGGCTCCCCTCTATCTCTAGTTATCCCATCCCTCCCTTCCCAGGCCCTGCTGGAATCAGCAACTGCCACCGGGCTCCGTGGGTGATTCCCGGAGGCGGACCCACCCCCAGCCCCCATCCGCCCCCGCACTCACCAGGACACCCGTTGAGCCCCTGACCTGGCCCGGGCTCCTTGCTCACACGGCCCCACACGGGAGTCAACCCAGCAAGTCCTGCCACAACTGCTTACCCTCACGAGCCGCGTGGCCTGCGCTAGGGGCCTGAGGCGCCCGGAAGGCTCAGGCTTCTCACTGCGAGTCAGGGGTGGTAACGGCACCCCCTTTATAGGCACTTCTGCTGAGAAAGTGACCACGCCGGCCGAGGGCTGGACCCACTGAGCCAGGCCCCGCGGGGTGCAATCTACTCCTGCTGTGCTTTTTCTTCTTACAAATCAGCAGGGGGTACCCAAAAGTAGA